GGACAGGGACAGGGACAGGGATAGGGATAGGGACAGGGATGGGGACAGGGATTTGGACAGGGATGGGGACAGGGACAGGGACAGGGACAGGGATGGGGACAGGGATGGGGACAGGGACAGGGATAGGGACAGGGATGGGGACAGGGATGGGGACAGGGATGGGGACAGGGATTTGGACAGGGATGGGGACAGGGATGGCACGAACCCACCAGCGGCTCTTGACTGGTGGGGGTGGGTCTGGCTGTGTGGGTGCAGAAATGGGGGGGACACGCTGGTGCTGTGGGGTCACCCATGGGTGCTGAGGGCTCCGGGGGTCTCGGGACAGGCTCCGGGGGCTGAGGGGCCGAGCGGGGCCCCCCTGTTCTGCGTCCTGCGGGGCCCCGGGCTGCTCTGCTACGGCAGCGCTGGCGAGGCCGAGGCAGGGCAGGAGCCCACCCTGACCATCGCTGTCACCAAGGTACGGGGACATGGGGGACACCAGGGCCGGGGGGCTCTGGGGCGCACGGGGAGAGTGGGGGAGTGTGGGGGACTGTGGGGTTACGGCGGTGATGGGGGATCCAGGGGACGTGGGGGTGTGGTGGGTACTGGGAGAAAGGGGGAGAGTGGGGGGCTCGGGGTGGTTCGAGGTTTGTGGGGGCTGTGGGGTCTATGGGGGCTGTGGGGTCTATGGGGATCTCTGGGGTCTATGGGGTCCGTGGGGGCTGTGGAGTCTGTGGGGGCCGTGGGGTCTGTGGTGTTCTGGGGTCTGCAGGGTCTGTGGGGTCTATGGGGGCTGTGGGGGCTGTAGGGTCTATGGGGTATTCTGGGGTCTATGGGGATCTCTGGGTTTATGGGGTGTTCTGGGGTCTCTGGGGTCTGTGGGGCTGTGGGGTCTCTGGGGCTGTGGGGTCTCTGGGGTCTGTTTGATCTGGGGGGTCCGTGGGCTCTGTGGGGTCCGTGGGCTCTGTGGGGTCTGTGGGGTCCGTGGGCTCTGGTGTCTCTGGGCTCTGTGGGCTCTGTGGAGTCTTTGGTGTCTGCAGGGTCTGTGGGCTCTATGGGGTCTATGGGTTCTGTGGGGTCTGTGGGCTCTGTGGGATCTGTGGGGTCTGTGGGCGCTGTGGGGTCTGTGGGATCTGTGGGCTCCGTTGGGTCCATGGGGTCTGTGGGGTCCGTGGGCTCTATGGGGTCTCTGGACTCTGTGGCTCTGTGGGGGCTCTGTGGGGTCTCCGTGGCTCTGTGGGATTGGGCTCTGTGGGTGCTATGGGGTCTCTGGGCTCTGTGGGGTCT